GGAGCAAACCGTTCAGTTCTTCACCACTTCCTCCCAAAGGAGGGCATAAACACAGCAAGCCAAGCCAATCCCAAGCAAATCCAGGAGACCCCTGCAAAGCTATGTGATTAGGGTCAGATTCGTGTTTGCCTTCTCAGCCTTGCTGCCTGGTTTCCTCAACCCTTGCCTCATCTCAGATTTGTCACCACAGATTAAGTAGTTGTAACAGATTTATCTGGAGATGGGTGCTTGCCTTATGTGATCAAAGCTGGTAAGGTGGTCACAGTCACTTTTTCCATCCCAACAACATAGAAAAACTAACTCTCAATGAGCCCTACAGCGTTTCATCCATTTTTAAAGCAAGGGTCTTGCCTCAGGATTCATATTTTTACAAGGTTACTCTTGCCAACACCAGATCTAGCTCTTACTCTGGCCAGAAGTCTGCTGGGAGTTGGGTAAATGAAAATAAGGAAAAACAAAGACCACGCTAAACCCTCCTCTCAGTCAGTTAAGAAGTGTAGCACCAGCTTGGGTGAGGAGTATTTAAAAAAAAATAAGCATTCAAAAAGATCAGCCCAGGCAGGGTGAAAAGGTATGGTAAAGTAGCCCACCCTTCTCAGCAAAAAAAGGAGGAAAAAGCCATACTTAAAAATGTTGGGAAGAACTAAACATACTTTTTTGAGGCGGGGGGAATTAAGAGGAAGAGTGGGAAGTACTGAAGTAACATTCAAAGGTTTGGGGATGGGGGGGGGGAGTAAAGTACCCTGTAGGTTATAAAAAACGCAGTAACGTAGGAGTCAAAGGATAAGATATTGCTTTTCCTTTTTCCCCCCATTGGATTTACATTCTGCTTACTGAAAGAGATAATTCTGAAGGAAACTTGTCATCAGGATAACCTGCTCAAGCCCTCCACACCTCAAACTTAAGAGATCTGCACGCCTTTTCCCACCCCAACAAAAAAAAAAAAAACCAACAAAAAAAAACACCCAAAAAACCCAAACCGAAAAAGACCAAAAAGGAGAGCTCAAAAAAACCCCAAAAAACCAAAACACCAACCCCAAACATGATTGGAAAAATCCTTGGAAGAAGCATTACATTTTGTTGGAGAGAGGTCAAGAAAAAAAATTAAGAGGATGAAGGGGTGGAGGAAAAAAAAAATAAAAAAAATCAAGAGGCCTCTCTTTCCTTATTTGGCGACAAGCAAGTGCAAGAAAGTGTTCGTTGGGGTTTTGTTCAGTTGTCGGTCTTTTGCACATCTGCGTTCTGGCCAAGACAAGGGGCTTTGAGGTTTTTCTGCAGCACATGAGCATCTGCAGGCTCTATCCTCTTGTAGTAGTTTTTCTTCGTCTCAATGATCTCAAAGCCAAACTTTCTGTAGAAGTCAATTGCAGACTCGTTGCTGATCTGGACATGCCTGGGACAGAAAGGAGAATAGAGAGAGAGGTATCACAACTTTCTGCAGTACAGTATTCTACCTCCACACTCAGGATGGTCAAAGACAAGATAAGAAAAGGAGCTATCTAGATAGAGACAGGAACGATGGTGTAAATCCAGGACTGGAAATTTTGGTCTTCCCAAATCAGTCCTGAGCTAACACACAGCTCCTGGATGGCCTGTGGCAATCTTTCTGAGAAGTGGCAAATGTTTCCCCTCAGGAAAGCTCTTTTAAGGAACACAAATAGCAGAGAGACTCTGAAGCATTACTAGCTCAGTAATTTCTATTTTTCTAAATCTAGAAGTATCAGATGTTTTGTGGAAATATATAGCAAAGTTTCACTGTAGAGCCAATTTTAATTTCCTCTAGTGACGCTTCTTAGATGACCAAAACTGTTGTCTGAATGATGATCCCTACAGTGTAATGCAAAACTGGCAATTGTGTTTGACAGGATTTTAACTCCTTGCTCACTGTTAACTACCCCTCCCTTCTCAAAAAAAACCCAACTATGGCAGCACAAAGAAGCCCTGTGGACTTACAAAGTCCTTTCCCCTTTAATCTATCTCTCCCAGAGTTTTACAGATCTTGCTAGCATATTTCAAAAGTTAAGGCCTCCAAAACAAACAGCCATCAGTTCTTCATTCTAAGCAACTAGGACATTTATTTGCACAAGTTTTATCAAAAAAAAAAAAAAAAGGAGAGAAAAAAAAAAAAGAGATGTTTGGCTCAGCAAAAGGCATTCATTAAATACTCCCAAAATTCAGTGGGCACTGCACAAGCTCATGAATCACTTTGTCATGACAACATGCTGCATAACCATAGAACCAAAGCAACTCTGGAAGCAACAGCAGAACAAAACAAAAGATCTTAGTGTTAAACCCAATAAACACCAAATAGCTAAAAGGAAGCTTCGTAATACTGACAAATTTAGCCACTGATATCAAACTGGGTGCTAAGCTGCATAATATGTTCAGATAGAAGATGCACAAGCAACGGACACAGTAATAAAATCAATGGGCCACTAAAAGAGCTTTGTTATACCCAACTCTGGGGGCTATTTATCATCATCCCAGAAAACTACTCTGGGAAGGGGAAGGAAGGATTATGAAGGATTTGTTTTTTGCATTAAAAAGGGCACGCAGTTCCTTCACTGTGTACACAGTGCAAAAAGCAAAAAAGCCTGTGCCTTGAGAGAGACTTCATTACCATTCTTCTGAGGCAGGAGAGGAGGAATACAAGCCAAAAGTAGCTTTACTTGAACTCCTCTTTAAAACACCTGTTCCTCTTATAGAGATGGCACAAAGCTACAATAGTAGCGGTCTTAGAAGACTTTGCATCTCCTTGGCAGAGGTGGACTAAGCTTGAGGAGAAAGTCACTCCATATATAGTGATATCAGTGTACAAAACACTTTTCACTAAGCATCTTCAACAGTGCTGGCAAGAGTTCAGGGTGCAGTTCTGTGGCAGCGTAAGTCTATCCAAGCTGTACCTGCTGTGGGACTCTCCCTAGCAGTGCCCCATGCTTGTACTGGTATAAGCAAGCAGCGATGGATAAGGAAGAAGCTGGCTCAGAGAAGCAATCTGGCCAAAAACTGCATCAGCTCACTTGGTATTCACACAGCCACCAATGCACAGGAAGAAGCAGAAGTGTGCAGCCAGCAGCAAAGGGGAAGCGAAGCTTTGGCATCTATGGATTTCAGGCTCTACTTCCACGGGCATCTAATAGGATGGCGGTGCTCTTTTAGGCAGCCCTGTCCTCTACCCCAGTGCTTGTTCTCATGTATGCATCATGCCAAGTACTTACGTAGACATGCAGTTGTCTATCTCCCCCCCCAAAAAAAACCACGCTAAAACCAAAAACAACACTCAGAAACAAAACCAAAACCAGTTTCGCCAGCTGGGTCAGGTCACTGACCTAGTTTACTGTGTTGCTGCACAAACAGCTGACCTGGCACAGAGCAAGAATGGGAATAAGCAGTTGGGCTTTACTACTGAATGAGAACCTAGAGTGCTTGCAAGCACCTCTGATCTGATGTTCTAACCTACACAGTACTGTCATAAAAGACAGGGAGCAAATGCATCAAAGCTGCATGCAAGTTTTGCGCTATTTTCCATTCTGAGGACGACACTGTACAGTAAAAAAATTCACATTTTGGTTTTTTTAAATCATGCAGTGTAATTCTGCTACAGAACATCATGTTCTAACTGAATTACTTTCAAATTCAGCAAATTTGCAGAAGCCCTTCTAAAGAAAGCTAGCTTTTGGTGTTCTCAGCATCACACAGCAAGCCCAGAGTATGACCCCTAGCTTTCTTACTAGTACTTACAAGATGTCCCATGATCCCACCAAAATACATAGTAAAAATGCTCTTGAAACTCCCTCCCTTTGCTCCCATATACGCCTCTACCATCTCTCCCAAAATGCAGGAGTGTAGCTCATTTACTTACAGATAGATGTTGTCAAAAGTGCCATCTTTTTCACAGATGTTTAAGACATGATTCAACATTTTAGTTCCTGCCGAAAGGTAAAGAGATACTTAAGAAAACCAGAAGTGCACCATCAAGTCTGTACTTAGCCAAGGGCTTTCTTGAGGAGAGGCAGGTTTACTGTAGGTACGCTAAAATGACAGAGCTTGAGAGAACTAGGAAAGGCAAATAAAACATGATGTATAAGTATTTCACTATCTTTCTGACTGCTAACAAAATTTAATTCATTGTTTCTTTGGAGAAAAATAACTCAACAGCCCAGAAGTGTATGTATAAAGCAGCTTATTTAAATACTAACTTCAAGGTCTCAAACTCACTTCAAAATATGGTCAAAATGACGTATAAAGCAGTGAGAGCATTGGTTTTCTAATAAAGGCCTAGTGAAGTAATTTAAAATAAAGTTATATTTTCATTCCAGTTTGTCAAAGCAAACAGATTACTGAAAGGTCTTGCTTAATCTGGTCTATGGATTTGCAACATGGAGAAAAGAATTAATTGCAGTATAGACAGATACCAGGTACTACCCCTGAGGAGCAATACTCAGTAATGATAAAAAAAAACCCAAACAAACCACAAAATGAAAAAAAAAACCAAACAAAAAACAAACCCTTCATTCAGAAGAGTGAAGAGACAAACCAATCAAGGAATGTTGTGTTCTGCTTATACATGACTTGCATACTGGCTGCATACCTCTGACAAATTATTTCATATCTCTGTGCATCAATTTTCACATCTGTAGAAGCAGAGTATTTACATCACAGTATGATAATATGATTAAGACTAAAATAATCTGAAATCCTGAATTAGAAAATTCTACAAGTCCATTTCTGAAAGGCAGGAAGAAAAGAGCACATCACAAATCATGCTCTTTCCCCAAAGTCCCTCCCAAAGAAATCAGTGGTCTCAAAGTACACTCTCTTGGTTAAAAATCTGAAAGAGCATTTAGAAGGCTGCACATCAATCTGGTTTCTTTGATAACTCAGATACAAAAGAAGATCCTCCTTACCTATTCCTAGCCTTCGGTATGGTGCCAGGCATCCGAGTGTCATGATGTACAGTCTCTTCTGGTTCTGAGAGTGATCCACCCTACAGCACACTGCTCCCACTGCAATATCATTGAAATAGGCTGCCAGGGAGGGAAACAAAGTATTATCAGTCACAAGTCTCAAACTGTACATACAGCTTCTTCATTTACACCCTCTGTCTTCCTTCCTTCCCTCTTGCTAATTCTCCCATCCAGATAAAAATATCATATATACATTGTGGCTTAACATTTGGAGTAAAGTCACCAATGGTCCTCTGACAGAGCGGTTGGCTTATTACAGTTTAAACCAACTAGCAATGACATCAGGAGGTAAACTGGCAGCACACATCTCTCAAGTTTTCTGCTGTAACAGAAAACATCCCTATTCCCAGTAAAATGGAATCTATTTCGAACTCTCTGAGGTTGGGACTGCGGCTTTTATGAGGCTCCCAAACAGTTATTTTTCATTATATAAAACAACAAAATAGAAGGATCTGCTATTTAAAACCATAATGGATAGCAATGATGAGCATTTCTGCCACCATAGCACACAATTACTGGCAAGAACATTTGTACCTAATTTGGCTAGTTCGCCAACCTCCAGTACATCCTTGTAGAACTTGTCATTGTAGCTGACAGGAAAAATGACCTGGTTTAGCCTCTTCAGCTGCTTAATGTTGTGTGGCGTCACATCTCCCAGCTCGATCCGGCTACTGGAACAAATCAAAACATGCTTAACATCTGATACACCGCAAAATTTCTAATAGTCAGTACAATACATACCTGAACTGCAATGTTCAACCCAAACAATTAAGTCTTCTGTTGGTGGCTGATTTAACTCCCAAATCCCATTTCAGTCAGTACTATACAGTCAGAAGTTTCTCGGGTCACGTTTAATACTGACACACCATAGTATAGGAGTGGTTTTATTGGGCAGAGGACAGGAGAACACTAATCTCTGTAGGAGTATGAGCTTTAATTTTATCCCATTAATTTCCTCACTGATCATCAAGATCATAGCAGGGAAAAAGCCAACCTAAAACCAACAAAGAAAAGATGGGAGGGACAGAAGGCTAGAATAGAGACCAAGAAAATTAAAACCTTATCCATGCTTCAAACACAGCTGTAATTTTACCACTTATCAATATAAAGCTTATGCTTAGACAAAGACTAAGTCATGACTAGACATCTGCCTGTTAAAAGCAACAACACTGTGTGCAGCAAACTCCTATTAAGCCTGTTAATATGCAAGTGTGCCACTGTCAAGGTGATATATGCACCTATTATGATCATCACTGAAGTCATTCTTCCGCTTGACTGACAGCAGAATCACAACCTTAAAATACCAGTACTGCACTGAATTATACTGAGAAGAAACAGACCAAGCTTCTCCCTTTTCTAAGACTAACTTCCTGACAGAAACGCTATATATACAGAAGCAAATTAAAAAAAAAAAAAAAGAAAAAAAATTAGTTGACTAGTTGTTCATATTCCCCAAGCCAATTTCTTGGGTGCAGGCAGACAGTTTTAAAATGGACTATAAGAACGAAAAATAAAAGATAGATAATCAAAATCTTTTCCCAAATGATCACCACAATACGTAGGCAGGTACAAAGCCAATGCATGTCAAGTTAGAAACACACACAATTTTAGGTTCATCTCAGCCTTGTTCTACTGAATACATGCAGGCAACTAGATTGTCTTCTGCTCAAACATTTTTAAAGACACTGTTTGCCTTTTTAAAAAAAGTCAAATTCTGTTTTTAAAAAGGCAGTTTTCAAAGATCCTTTTACATCAGGATTTAAAGTTCATTCTAGTAATATGCAGTAGCTGCTTTCCATCTCCAATGCCTCTTGTGCCTAGGCAGCTTGTTTTTTCAGATAGGTTGATGCCTAGGACGTGACAGCACAGAGAAGATAATAACCAACAACTTTTTTCTTCAAGAACTGTACCAAGCAATGCAGAGTATAATCTGTCTCTGCTTTATTAACTGACCTTTATTACACATCAAAACCCCTTAAACGATCAGTATTCAAACATCATATCAGTTTTAGTTGTTCCTACCAATGATGGGTGATAAATATACAATGTTTTCTAGGCATTGTACTGCAGCCTGCAAAACTATCAGAAAAAGCTACAGGAATTGAGCCTTTAATGTTTACTTCAAGAAGTGTAACTTACCCTCACACCCACTTTCTCCTTTTCTTTTACAGCAAAGAATAGGGTCTCAGTTCTGCAAAGGTATCAAGGACGACCATTGTCTGATCTGTGTCATACCAGAGAGTGGGCAATCTCCCTAGCCTTACAGAAGCTAAACAATTTGTAAGTAGGGCCTACCTTTTTTAGAGAACCATCTAGCATTAACTAATGGACTATGGATGATTTTGTAATTCTCCATCAGATTAATATGTTCCACTTAATTGTTCAAACTACTTAGTATTAATAGATGGCATTTACATATTGAACTTTGCTGACTCCAAAGTCTAACATTTTGTTACACATTTGCCAAAGAGATTAAAAAGCCCTCTGGTGTCAATCATCCCATGACAGTATGGGGGCTTGCAAATTGTTCCAGGCAGCTTTTCATCTTCCCCCCTACCACACCGAATATGTTGATCTCTCACAGCCCCTGCCCTCCCTGCCCTCCCCCCCATCCCCGCTAAGCCATGAATCCTTGTAGTTTGCCCTGAGCTCTGCCCAATTATACAGCAATCTCTTGAGAGACATCTCACTAGAACTGGACGGTATGTTCTCAAACGTGATCTCAAGAATGACAGAAGAAGCAAGTCTCCGTATTCTTGCATCTTACCCATGTCAAGATACTCAGGCATACTACAAGCAACAGCAGTGGGATGTATTTCTAAAGTTTCTAGCTAGAAACCACTATATTGTGCTGAAATAGTCTGTAGTGTCTCTTTTCTGTGACTCCTACTGCCACCAGCCCTTTGGTTCACAGCCTTTTCCATCTTCTAGATTATTTTTGCTCTCAATAGTAAGATTCTTTTCTTCATGTATCACCACTTATGCAAGCCCCTTTTGTAATTATATTCCAAAATAAAGTTAAGTACTAAGCTAGTAAGGATGATCTCCTCACATCACAGAAGTACTCCCATTGTAAATAAGCATGCCATCAAAGTTATTAGGCAATGGGGTAACTATAATACTTGTTTTATGCCCAGCTTAGCACAGCTGTTCAGCCTAGCATGGCAGGGCTTCTTCAAGCACACAGAAGGCAAGTTGTGCCCTTTTCTAATCTCAGCTAGCAGTGCTGCTGCCTTATACTCACAAAGGGTAGGAATAAAACTGTGGCAGGCGGGTTCCCGGGTATATTTGTGTCTGGAAGAGAGTTTTGCTGGAGTAGAAGACCTCAATAATCTCATACTAGGAGCGAAGACTCAGCAACCTGTTTTGCTGCAGTCTGCATCAGAGTGGAAACCGAAGGCAGCAGGTCTCCACTGCCCAGTTAGATCAGATTAGCTGCACAGTAAGAGGTCAGTAAGGGAAGAGAAAAATCTCACTCAGTCCCTTGAAAGCCTAGACCTCTTGTTCAAAAGATTTAATAGTATATTCACGTTGGTGATACTTTTTTTGTATCAGTAAATCAAAGCTTCAGTAGATCAGTAACATTAGCATGAACTCTTACAATGAATTGATGGCAAAGTTGCTCTAGTGCAAGTCCCTCTTTATACTCGAGCAAAAAAAGTCTGACAGACTATTGTCAGGTAGTGTGATTTCCAATATTATTTTTAAACTAATTAGTTACTAATGAAGTAAGAAATAAGGAATTAGAAGACAGTCACTATGGAATATTTCTGATGACAGTGCAACAGGACAAAAATATATTGTCAGGGGCAGCTAGGACAAGATGGCTGAGAAAGGGAACATGGCCAGAAGATGGGACCTTCATCAAGAAGGTTTCAGACAGAGAATAAATAAGTAACTGCAGACGCAGAGTCTAAGGCTGCTTGTAGCTGCTGAGCCAAGACATCACCTCTGAGGCTGGCATCAGGCCAGAAAAACAAGTTCCAGTAGTAGGTGGCTAAAAGGTGCTGTTGACAGATTTCCTCGAGCCCTTAGGCTCCCTCCCTCTATCTCTCACCACTTGCCACATTCATTGCTGCCTCCCACCATCTCCTTCTGCCTGCCTCCTGTGCTCTGTCACTAGCTGTTTCCTTGTTGCTACAAGCCAGTAATTTATCAGGGAGGATAATATGAAAAAAGTTTGAGAAACACTGCAGGAAGCATAAATCAATATGCTAAATATGTCTGTTTAAATAGTATGCACTCAAACCATAAATTACTTTGATGTACAGCACTAGCTGATTAAATCAACACCACATCTATTACATACAAAACCATTTAAATAAGTAAACTAAATGAGGACATGGAAAGGAAGACCCACATCATGAGAGTTCATCACTTTGCCTGAGGACAGCATGGCAAAAGGGCCGCTAGGGCCCCGAATGAAAACACGGGAAAGCTGGCACTGCTGCTGAAAGCAGCAGTCTTGCTGTCCCTGAGCCACTGATTTCCATCCTCTTGCTGGCACAAACATTTGTGCAACAACGTGGTGAACCAACCCCAATTAAAACTAACCTAGCCAAAAAAAGAAAAGTTTAGTCAGTCCCCTGATTGGGTTCACCACACAAGTCTTGTGCCAGCATAAAGAGAAAAGAAAACTGCCAGAGGCAGAACCTGTCGGTTCTTGAGCAAAAGTGCCAGCCTACCCCAGTTTAATCTGGAACTACTGCGCAAGAGGAACACAGAGATCATTCAGCATCTACCCAATTTTGTAGAGCTACACCTTTTAATTTACTGAACAACATGCACTTTGAACCTAAGGACTTAAGCCTACCGCAGCCTCAACAAGATAAACCACCTGCAATCATGAACACAAAATGGTCACTCCTTTGTTTTCACAGGAGTACTGGAAATAGCTTAGGGTTTGTTTTTTTTTTTTCTTTTGTTTGTTAGTTTTTTAATAGCTATTTACAAGTGGACCTGCTTCTTCAAGTTACCTCTCAGCCAAATCAGTAACATAAGTTTACTATATCAGCTAAGGTCTGATTAGACCAGTCCTGTGCATTTCAGCCCAGTATAGGCTGTACGAGAAGTACTTATCCTCTGCTGTTGCAAAGAAAAAATTAAATCATGACCTCAAATCAGGATATGAGAGAACATAAAGACATGTGAAGAACCTGAAACATCCTGAAGGGACATGGCCTACCTTAACAGATTACTTTATTCTGTTATTCCAATAACATCCCTAAGAAGATACACAGTTATTACTGGCATCCTACATCTTGAATAGCACTCCACAGACCATACAACAGTCAACTGTATTCATCTTAGGTGTCAAAGCTTCTGGACTAAGTCAGCCACCACATCCCAAGCACCTGTTTTTATTATGAAAGAACGAGGGACTCTTGGCTCATTATGTCAGGCCTCTTATTACTACAGTGCTCTGCAATCCCATACTCTTTCCTACATGGAATACCAGCCCTCTGAAGCCACTTCAACATCTTCCATTGCAAGGCTGTTCCTAAGCTACCATTATTCTCATAACTAAACTTTCTTCTGATTTGCATTCTAAAGGTACTCAAGTTCTAACTGTCTGCTGTCTCTCATTGCTCATTAGCTTCGGCAGTTGATGGGTACCAACATACCCTACCACACATGCCTTTTCAGAGAGCTACCATGACCTCTTTATGCTTTCCTTCTCGTCACTAAAGCCAAGCTCCTGGCCTCCTCCTTTAAGACTGGCTCTTAATTCCTACTATTGTCATACTAGCTCTTCTTTCCATTCCTTCAGATTAAAGTTAATTTTCCTTAAACACAGCTAACCAAAACTGCTTACAGCACCCCAAATGCTTACTGTTGCCTTGTACAATGGCAGTAAGTTTTTCCTGTCTCTACCAGAAGCATTTCCCTGGCATATCGTAGGACTATGTTTGCACTTCTCCCAGCTGCAACATACTGTGACTGGGTTACTGAGGAAAAAACACACAGAGACTTCACTAGTGAAGGGAACTGGTTTCTGGTACGTAAGGCTGCTGTTCATTAAAAGCGCACAGTGACACTGCCCAGCGATATAAGAGCAGAAGTGAAAAGTGATCCACAAAATCCCAGTGGAAATGGGACTTTAGTGAGGTGACATGCAGCAATTACTGAAACTGAATGCATTCCTGGAACATCAGCATCAGTGCTCATGCTCTTGCATGCCAGTGCCCCCCAAGATCCTTCAAGCACTTACTAGAAAAAAACTTGCACTTTTTGTAGCACCAAATGCAATCCAATTGGTCCTACTGCAGCTGCATTCCTCTATCTGCAGCTTACTTACTATATGGCTGTGATTTGATCACTATTTTTCTTACAACATCTTAAACTCAGACTGGAAGTAACACAGGCTAAATAAGATACCAGCATTTGCTTATGCTAAGGCTGCCTTTTGCCTCTTGATGTATACTGAAGGAGAACGCTATACAGAATGATAGCTCATGACAAAGCCCATTTCCAGAGTTACAGTTCAAAAGGCAACACGAATTCAGTCCCAGAGGACAGCAAGTGTTGAACACTAGTTTAGAACCAACATCGGGGAGAAAAAGGGGGAATTCCGAGTTTCTTAATGCTGCAAGAATCTCAGTCTCATTCAACTTTAAATAGTGCAAGTCTCTCCCCAGAGGGACGTGCCTGACTGAAACAGATCTCAGTGTAACTGATAGCTGGGCTCAGGCTTATTGAAGGCATCTGGCATGCTAAATTTAGCAGAGCTGTATCTGCAACTCCCAAAACTTACTGAGGTATCATCAAACAGTCAGGAGAGAGAGCACAGGGGAGAAAAGGGCCCTAACAAATTAGAGGACTTCAGAGAAGGTTTGTCACCCGCTAAGCGGCCAACTAGCTTTATTGCTTCTATTTTGGCTTCCAAGTCAAAGCAGGAGTCTAGACAGGATAATCCACTCATAAAATAAAACCAAACCAGAGCTATGAAAGCTATAGACCTGAAGGGTGTGGCTTTGCTTAGATTCAAATCCAAAGCTAAAAGAGCCTCTCTAGTGTTTTGGGGTTGTTTTGTTTGGGTTTTTTTCTTTTTTCTGTAAAACAGATGAGCTGTCTTGCTAGGCACACAAGTTAGTCTAGTTCTTGTGGGCAGACCGGTATGTTTTCAATTATCTAGAAGATCTGTGGGCTGTAAATCTACTCTGCTTCGCTTGTCAGAAAATCAGAAGAATAAGTACAAGCCTAGCATGCAAAAAGTCTTACCGATTTGCTTCTGAGCCTCCCTGATCTTCTTTAGCCCCACTTACTACTGAAAACATGTATTTGCATGACACCTGATACTCTGCTGGAAGACACCCCCAGGTGTGTGCTGGATTGTAGAAGGGCAGTGATGTACAGCAATTTTAGAATCAGAACTAACAGAAGACTTCACCAAAGACTTGCAATTCAAATGGGTCTCAGTGTGAACAGGTTTCACTGGCACGTGTCATAATTCTCCAAGACATACTTCAGACCCTCCTTGCCTCTCTCCTTTATAACAAAAAAAAAAATACACAGTATGTTACAGTCAAGGTTTCTTCCCTGTATTTGGATAATTCACTCTGCTTCAACCTAGAAAACCTAACCATTGTACAAAAGACTGGGCAGTCTTCACATGCAAGAAGCAAAGTTACACTGTAATAGCCTCATAGTTTTCCCAGATGAAACCTGTTCTTCGAGAGTTGTACTAGACCTCAAATCTAGAATCAACTATGATCTTAAAAAAAAAAAAAAAAAAAGACAATCCTAAAGCTAAAGTAAGTAG